GCTACACGTGGTAGTGCTGAAATGACCAGTGCTAATATCTCTTACAAGGTAAAACATCAACGTTTAGGAGTCTTTGGTGGCCTAATGTGATTACTGGCACCTCAAAAGAAACAAATATAACGTGGACTGATGATTACTTCACAAAAACATTGAACATTATTTTTCTTTTGATTCTCCTTATTGAAGATTCTGCATCTCTCAAAAATCTTGGTCAAGCCGTGGTTGCTGCTTTCAAATGTGTGTGCGAGAAGCTGGCATATGACACACCAAAACTATACATAATTGTATTTTTGCAATACAATTTGCTGTGCAATACAATTTGCTGTGAAACTTGCTGTGCATGTTTAGAATAGCTACTTTCTGTTAACGTTGTGCTTAAAGGAAACAATGAATACTTTAATTAATTTATGAATTGAATTAGTTAATCAAATAGTATAAAAGTGTGTTTAGTAACACAATCCAAAAAAAGCACTTTTTACAAAACAGAAGCCTTTTATGAGCACGCAGCACTTTACTCTGGTGGATATTTGCTTCTGTCCGTGTTTGTCTTCTTTTATTGATTCTTCTTTCTTCTCAACAAAAGAGTCTCCATCCTTGTTGTTCCCATCAACATCCCTCTTAACTGTTTCTATTCATTTGCCCTTCACACTACACATCATCCATTTAGCGCTCCTTATCTCTCCCTAAATTCTGCCTTGCCCTTCAAAATCACTTTTCCAAAGACCTCTACCAAGTAAGAAGATCAAATTTCAAAGCCATAAAGGTCTGGGTCATGTGTGTAAGAATTAATTGGAGATTAACTTAAAAAAAAGAAAACCGCTGAGTATATTGTATTTTAGGTGATACAAAGTCCATTCGTTTTTGATGTTTTTATAAAATAAGTAGCCCATTAATAAAAGCAATTCAAGACCCCTTAATCTTTGTTAATCCCTATTCCACCTCACCCTGTCATTTCACCTACCCCCGTTGATCCCTCCACTTATCTACTTACTTTCCTGCATCACCCGTCTTTATAGCCTGCTGTCCACGTTATTATGTCCATCATTCCATCCTTTGGTCCTCAGCACTTATCAATCAACCAGATTATAAATCCACTCGTTATTAAAGTTATTAAATCACCTTCATCATCGCCTTTAGATAGATTTGTCTTAATAAATCCCCAGCTACAAACAACTAGCTTTAATTATTCATACAACTTCATACAATATAATGTCATGCAAAATGATATATAACAATATAATATTCATCCTGCAGTAAACTTAATTCCTTTTTTGACTATAATTGACAGTCGACATTATCTCTCACCAGCATGTATTGCATGGCTCTTGGGGCCCAAATGAATCAGAGACAATTCATTATAAATTCTGGAAAATTCACGCAGAAGCTGAAGAGAAAATCCATATTCATCAATGGCAGTGGAGCAAAGCAGGATCACATTTGATTTAAGGCTCCATTAGAAGTAGAAGCCTGCTAATCCCGACTCCTCAGGAATGATTGAGGGTGGATATAAAATGTTTTTGTTAGTTAGCAAATTGCTCTCCACAAGACATGTGACACACATAAGAGCATATTTTCAGCTGGTGCTTCTTCATAATACCTTTCTGACGAGATGCAACTTTATATTGAATATTTACGAAAGCTTAGCAAAGACTGTCATGTCCATAGTTCATTCTATTGTTGGTTACATTCACAAGAAGACATAAGACTGAGTCCTTTTTCTATTGTTTTGACACTTGTTGTATGGTGGTCGACCAGTCCTTTGTTTCCCACGACCAAAATAAAGGAAAATAGAGTTAAATGTATTTTTGTCGATACAGAAATCAACAGAATTGAAAATATTCAACATAATTAAAAACAATGTAGATGTTCCGCCACATCTTAAATGTGTAATTAAAAAAAATCTATTGTGGCTCGTGCCAGCGCCTCTTCGTGTGCAGGGATTTGTATTTGTCTTTTGTACAGAAACACTTGAAGATTAATACGCTGATGGGGAAAAATACTAAATAGCATTGTGTTTGAAATAAGGCATGTTCACATGTTTGAGAGGTGGGCAGTGATTATATCTCTCCTTCTACTCACAACCACCCAAATCATTGTTATAATAGGCTGCTAGTACTGCTTAGCATTTAGCTGATGCTTGTTTTCCATAACCTCTCATCACAACCAAATTCCACCCATTCAGTAAAACAACTTTATGATGTTGTGGGTTAATAAACTCGTAAACAATGTTACACTATCTTCAAGTATTTTCTGGTTCTTTTAAGCAAGAAAGACACCGCACAACGAGAAGAACATCTTTCATTCGGGAAAAAAAACTTTTTCAGAGGATAAAAGCCATATTCAGTGAATGTATTATTCAAAATGTCTTATACTGAATATTTTTCTTCATGTATCATTTGCAACATCTGTCATCTGTAGAATAATCTCCTCCCCGTTTGAAGGTCCTTCAAGTGAGAAATGTCAGTTAAAGTGAAAATAGTCCCAAAATGGCAACGTTTTGAAATTTTAATGCTTTTAGATCAAATGGCAAAATTCATACTTATTCACTTCTTTGCATGTTTAATTGAAATCCTATGTGTGTGTTCGTGAGAAAGAGAGGCAAACTGAGTTAATTTCCAACTCATGTTTAAGGTCCGATTTTCAAAGATGAATACTTATGTTAATATGATATTAAATCCTCCATTATTTAATGAAAAGTATCAGTGGCAAGAAACATTGATGGATAAGACGGTGTCTTGATAACACAACGTCCTATAAATACCATTTAATGGTACGAATGACAAGAATAGGTGAAGGCTGTGGTTGTATCCAGTATTATTCTCTTCGCTCCTCAAATCCCACTGCAATAAACTGGCAAGAATAAACACTGACATTGCAGACTTTAAAAACTACTACTGATAACCTTGTTACAGCTTATGTATAATTCATGGTGAGAACATGAATATGTATTACTGTATGCTGATGTTATAGAATTATGTAATGATTCCCTGTTTTAATGTGTTGTCTCACTGTAACTTTGCATCACAGGCATATTTCAGCATTGAAAAAAGCCCACAGCAACAATTGTAATGCTTTCTTCCACTCATTGATATGTAAGCTCAGTTAGTGTAGGAAAGTGATTCAAAATTCACGACATGTTTGTAATAGGACAATGGTCTCAGGGCAAGAAAGCCACTCAAAGTGGTAAGAATATGTGGCAGCGAGGAGCCTCGTTGGAAGTGGATGGTGCACTCACACATGTGTACTAGACTGAAAGGAAAGCAGCAGAGCAAGTACATGTTAAATAATGCGGAACATTGACTAAGCATGTTGGCTCTGGGAGTATGTCCACGTGTTTGCGTTGTGAACTGCATGGATGTGCAACGTGGAAGACATTCTACTGTGAATCCAGCAGGTGTTGAACTATTTTTCCTTCTGAGCCCACATCACAGCAGGGATACGAAAGCCACATATTACCAAAACCCTTCTTTCCGCATATTACAGCTTTGCATAAGTGGTCTTTACATGTACAACCATGAACCACCAAAACGATACATGTCGTCAACCTATATGACCAACATCGTGTGGCCTGCATCAATGTGGGGGCAGCAGTTGATTTACATGATTGAGCACCACATTTAGCTCCTTAAGATCTGCCTTAATGCCCCGGATTACTTCCACAACATCCCTCCTGTATTCACTTGCTTAACTTCATTATTTGGAGACTGGAAACTTTCAGTTTAAGCACATAACCATCAAGGATAAGGTTAAGTGGTGTTAAATTTAAGCATTCTCTCAATAATTTCCCTTCTGTCTGCTCATCATTCTCGAAGGTCCACAACATCTCCAATCTCCAATTTCTGCCAAGTATCTCAATTTCAGAACAGCTTGCAGTTTACATCAGCGCCTAATGTCTTTGACAAATGGCCTCGCAAATAACTCTCACAGAGATAAAACAAGGTCCCAGTACTCTCTCTCTGTCTCACTATGTCTCCTTGCCCGTCTGGGTCTGTCTTTCAGTCCTCGTCTCTCTCCCTTACCCTTGCTCACCATCTCCAGAGAGAGAGAGAGAGAGAGAGAGAGGGATGTGTTCATAAATCTAAACCACCCATCTTTACCATCTCCTGACGCTTAATCTTAGAAACCCCTCTGTACTTGATGTCTTACTAAATTAGATTAAAGGACTGCTTGGTCAACCTTCCCGGAAAGAAAAAGACTCCTGAAAACTGATTTGGGTTCCACTCACACACTAAAACGAGGACGAAACTTCCACAGTGTATAATTGTCTAGCTTAAGCAATTTCCCTACAACCTACTGCAGATCAGAGTTAATTGAACAATGAATAATTGATAAAGACGCATTTGTTTCCTCAATTTCCGAGGGATCACCGTGTTGCTGTGCTGCTGCTTAATGTGTGAAGAGGCAAGTGGCCTGACCTTCACAAACAAAATCATTCATTCATTGGTGTGAGTTTGTGTCTTGAGTCCATGTGCTCTAGTGGTGAAGAAACCCTTTACGTAGGCTCCTCTGGAGACCACACCGGGCGGACTTCAGTGTTTTTCTATGATTCACTTCCATGACCGAGACTAGAAAACACACAGGAGCATACTCACGCAAATACTGATGCATATGGATCGGCAGACACACATTAACACCCTATCTCTCACCCCCTCCCTGTCACGCTTCTAGCCAAATTAGATTGTGATTGCTCCTTCTGAGGTCACTTTTAATTAAACTAAGATGAAAACATGGCACACAGGATTAGGGCCCATCCTATCACTTCAGATTATAAATTCATAACTAATACAGGAGCGTATTGCTTCCAACCATGACCTTCGTATCATTTGTGTATAAGAGCAAAAGGAACTCGCCTAATTGTGTCCTTCTGCACAGATAAAGAACATGACAGGTGCGTGTGTGTATGGGAACGTTTTTTGTAAATCTCAACTTCAAAATGTATTATATATATATATTTTTCCCAAATTCACTGAGAAATAAGGAACAAAAAAGCCCCTCCTTACCTCTGTGATAAAAGCCTTGGCAGTGGCCGGGCTCATGAAAAGCACGGCTCTGCGTAGCGTGTCCCTGTAGCGATGCAGCTCTTCCACGCGCATTGTTCTGAACAGACTTGTGATCATCATGTTGATGTTAGATTCCACCTTCTGAAGAGAAACGTCCATTCCCTGCTGAGAGGTCCGGTCCAGGAAATCCTCAATGCCGCGGATATCTAGAGAAGGAAAGGCAGTGAGGAGTCTCGATATCTGGCTGTTGAAGAACATTATACCTTCCAATAATACATGAAGAAGTTCAGTAAACATCTCAATTCATGAGCTCCACCTGGCAGTGATTCCTGCTACTTTGCATTTGTATTACTCAAATACTAATCTTTGATTTGATTTGAACTATTGCTTTTGTTGTCAGTGCTGAATGCCTCAGTCTTCTAAAAACATGACGGTACAAAACATTCTTTAGATTTTCCATCTCTTACAAATACACATACATGAAAATAAAAGCATACGGTGGTGAATCATTTAAAGTGAACGTCATTTTGGTTTCCCTTTTGATCGAGCAGTACCAAACGACTTGGATTAAAGTGAGTCCGAAGTGCTGCTGTACACTTATGCCGATATAGGCAACGATTTCTGCATGGGCTGGAAATGAACACAGTAAAAGGGTTTAAAATCGTGTGCAATATAAATACACTGTGCAATAAAGGTTACAATGGCTGTATAAGATCCCATTTCAGTCATTGTGGATTCTTGTTTTTTTTTTTAATCTTAACTACTGAATATTTTATAATACTTGTTTTGCTCTTGTTTTTCTTCTATGCCTCTTGTTTCCACTTTACCCTTCAGAGCTGTAAACCCATTGAATTTCACCGCAGCGGGACTAATAAAGGATTGTCTCATCCTACCTTATCTTATCTTGTGTAAATCTTATCATGTACATGTATGAATGCAATGGTATTTAGAAGACGGTATGACTATTTCAATGTTTGCATGTTGTTGTCTGCTTGGTACTGTGAACATTGACATACATAAGAACAACTTAGACAAGCGATTTGATCTTCTTTTTTTTTAAATGAGATATAAAAGAACATCTGTGTATAGGACTTAGGGACATATAGATGTGAGGTTGCAAAATGCATTAAACCAAATACCCCTCGGCTCACCCATTAATGTCTTCAGCCAACATGTTTGGTTTTTCTGCTTCTGGGCTGCTGTAGAAATACGGCGATCCAACATTCTTTGAATTGCGGCTTTCTTTTTCACAGTAGACATGAAGGGCTCATTCTAAGCTTACAAAACCACAATGCTTTTTAGTTGTAGGTCATTCTGCATAAATGGGCACATAGTTATGAATTGTATATACCCCTTTTGCAAAGAGACACTCTAATTCCTACACACAGTTCCTTTAATTCACATTTTGTGAAGCTGAGGTCTCTGGTTAGTTGCCTGTCAAAGACAAAATAATACTATTGATGTTTATGTTCACTTATGACGAAGAAACCTCAACCAGTTGACTGAATACAGATAATACGGATAAATAGGAGAAATTCCTTAAGGTTTCTTTTTGGCGGTTGTTTTCTTTGTGACTGTCAATAATTGTTTTCAGTCCTGAATGGATTTTCTCGTTTTGTGATAGAAAATGTTTTTAATAATTAAACTTCCAACGGGGATTTGTTGCTACGTTGAATATCTATGAACATCTGTGCTGTTACAGTAGAACAGGGCCAAACGCGTCCCACATGGGCTGAATCCACTGTAAAGTAAATGAATATTCTTGCCAGGGCACTAAATGACAGAAATAACATAATAATGCTAGAGTTTTAAATCAAAGCAACAAACCATTGCAGCTACCTACAGTATATTCACAGTTATTTTCAGCGGGGTCAGCGATTTTACTACCTGCATTGCTCTTTTCTTAATGTGCCACATTGCAGGTGAAGATAATGCTTGTGGAAGGCACTTTGATTGAGACTACGGCCAATTACGTTGAATGATGTGTGAGTGTGGTTATATGAAGCGGTTATGTAAAGCCACCACTTAATGATGTTTTTGACGTGGAAAACGGATGACACCGATGTCATTGCCAGTGTCAAGACAGAGCAATTATCTGGATTGATTAGACCTGTTAAAGGCCACAGAGCATTGGTGTGATTGCATCACTGCCAAATATTGGGGGGTTTAACAATGTATTAAGCAGAGTGACAGCATGCAGCAGCATCAATTCAGATGGGGAATAATCTAGAAAGAAAAAAATGTCCATCCCGTGCACAAATATCCACACGCGCCAGGCTGTCAGCTCAGGAGGTTAAAGTAATGAAAGTGGGGGGGGACATTCCAAAAAGTTTGTATTTTGTCAGCTATCACAACGACACAGTTCCCCACACTGAGAAGATTGATAGGGAATGTTGTCAATCTTTCAGCAACAACATGACAGGGCGAGGAAGACCATTGCAGCACAGTTATTGGTGTCTTGAAACTTCATTTCTTCCAAAACTTTCCTCTCCCAAACATATAAACGGCCAACAAACATATATACACACATGCAAATGTAGCAATCCAGAACACAGCTTAAGAGGGGCTTGCAAATGGCTACAGGCCTCTGTGTCTGTCCGTGCGTATACATGCGCATGCACTCAGATGTTTGTGTCCTGCTGTGTTGGCACAGCGTATCAGTAAGCATCATCATCGTAACTTGATAGAATCATTATTTTGAAGGGAATATTTCAGTGTGTGCACGTCACCCTGAGCAGTTGGTCTAATAATGATACCGTGGTTTTGTATTTTGTTTGTTGAGCAAACAGAGACATTGAGGTGGCAGCTTTAATGGCCACACAACAGCGCTGTAATTGGTGCAGCAGCACAGAGTTATCAAGGCATTCAGACCTAATTACTGTTATTAAATGGCATTAATACCAATTTGGAGTAGTTACTGTTTAACTATATTAACATTGGCGATGCAATCATCATCCCTGTGACCTCTAATGAGCTACAACATCAATCAGTTGTAAAAAGCAAAAAAAAAGTCTGAGCGGCTCATATGTCCATCCATCCATAAAATATGGATTTCATACACAGATGCATACAAATCTCAGGTAACGTGTAATATGGTGACACATTCTCACTTCCAACACACAAAATATGGCAGCTTGATTCGTGGCCCTACTGGTAACATTTAAGCAACTAAAATACTTTAGGTTTAGGAAAAAAAATGTGGCGTGGGTTGAGATTTTTTTTCCGTTAATTAGTAAGAATGTTACAGTATGATAAACAACCGTAATGTTGTCCTCACATCGTTAATTACCCTCAGGTGAATGCGCACAAATCACAGCTCATGCTGTAGTCATTAAACTGAGGTTAATTTTAATTCTGCTTTATCATAGCCTACACAAACCTTAGAATGTCAGTGTTTCGTCCCAATAAACTAAATATTAATGAAATAATATATAATAATATAACAATCAAATTCATTGTAAGCTAATAAATAAACACAGAAAACTCAGAAAGATGTAGCTTGCTCAAATGCAAACTGTACAAACACACACAGAGTGCACATATACCTTTACTAGTCAAAGCAGATCCAATTCTAGCTGTTAAACATCTATCAATCAAGTCCCTGCCATTGGTAATCAATGGTGCCGAGCACCGTAAACCTTTTACTTCTGACGTAGATACTGAAGTATGTCTGATTTATGTTCACTATGCGTAGAAAGATTTGGAAATCCACAGAATGGAAACGCTTTTCCAACAGAGCAGGAATAAAATAATCTAGAAGACCCAAAGAACAGAACACTCGGCTGCTAATTTTTAATCATTGTATGCTTCTTCCTATTAGAAAATAATTTTTGTGCCACAGTTTTCATCTGTCAATTTTTGTCCATTGTGCTTCTGCAAACTGTCAGCTTCTTGTCCTTCTACTAGTGGCTGTATTACTCTTGGACACCTTGTACCGGTTCCTCCAGCTGTCAGCGCTTCTCTCCATCTTTCTCCTTAGCTGCTGATTGAGTAGCTCTGGCTTTAATTTGCACTCATATTGGCTTATTGCACAAACATGTGTGTCAGTCTAACACATAGCATGTAGAGAGCTGAAGAACCAAACCGTCTCCCTTACTGCAAATCATCATGCTCGCTATATTGGACAGTTAATTACACAGATCTTTGAAACTGGTAAGAATAATGTGAGATATTCAGTATTGTAATGTTCTATGAGCACCCCTAGGAGAAAAGAAAATAATTGACTTTAAAATATTCTGGTCCAGTTTTAAACATTAGTCAGAAGTCAGAAGCCTCCTCTCCTCCGGAGCAGATCATTGGCTGTCAGCTGCTTTCCAACGAGAAACTTCAGAGCACCATAGCGGGTAAAAAGAAGAGGAACATTTTACCTGACCTTGCCCACCCAGGCGACCACCTGTCAGAGACGGATTCCTCTGGGAGAAGGTGCCGCTCCATTAACACCACGATCAACTCTACCGCTCCTCCCGAGTCCCCGAGGGATCCACATACTGAGCGTCCGCCGCAGCCACACACCTCCTCCTCTAATAGAGGTGACTGTATTACTGCTGCCACGTATTCCCTGCTTCTAAAGTGTTTTTTGAGACATTCATACCATCAACAACTTTTAGAGGCGACATGACCCTCATTCACCACAGCTTCTGTACAATATGCCATTTCACGTTCCTTTTTTTCCCAATTAACAAATCCGAACGTGCCAAAACAAATGTAATATTATCTTCCAATGTTGTGATGATACTAATTATTATCGTTACGCTCATATTGTTAACACCCAAATATACTATCCATTTGACTCAATGGAGATGTACCTGCTAATTACCTTTTAATGTCATCTTCTCCAACCTCACAATTAATCGCCGTATCTTATTGTTTGTCAAGTGTTATAGCACAACCGAAAAGGCATTTTACAAAGAACTCTCTGTCCATAATTCCTTGTAAAACAAGGTTGATTCTCTGCGTCCCTTTGCGCCATTCGTCAGGCTTCCCTTCTCTCCCCCCCCATCACATATATCCTCCAGTTCCCTGGCTCAAGGTAAAAGCAAGAGTTAATGTAGTGTAGAGGCCCACAAAATGCAGGGGTACTTGCATGTACCGACCAGCTCAGCGGTACTCTGTCGCCTGCTCACTTTACCCAAAGTCCTCTCTCCCTTGACTCTTTTTCTGGAACCTGCCGCCATTTCACTTGTTTTCTGTCGGCTTTAGAGTGAAT